TTATCCCGCGGATAAAAAATACAATTACTTGTGGCCCCACCTACAAGAAGCCTCGAACCAATCTTTTATAAGAAAATATCTTGTCAAAACAATTTTACAGAAGAAAAATGTCTGACGTCAATACTGTACACGAGTCCCCTAATTCAAATTTGCCTGAGAGCTGTGCTATAAGAGTTTCTTTACGCTCACCAGTTGCCAAGGGAATAAAATACTAAATAGATTATGGAGTGGCTATATGAAGTTTTAAAATATTAGGTAACCAAAAAAGTTCTGTCGTTTTTTGTGAAACTACAAAGTTTAAAGAATGTTAAATGCAATACACAATAGATGTCTCTAAAATTCCAGCAATATGTTAATCAAGATTTAATGCTGACTCATCTTATATAAAGAGAAGCGGAAAGGTTATCTCTTAATATTATAAAAATTGACCTGAAGATGAGTACTCCAAACTCTATAATTCGTGCTTGTATGTTGTATAAGTTTAAACTTGGAAAAAATGCCGTGCAAATGGCTCAAAAAATATGCCAGGTTTTCGGACAAGGTTCTATCAGCACTCGCACCACCCAAAGGTGGTTTAGAAAATTTTCTTCCGGTGATGAGTCGCTTAAAGATGCGCCATGAGAAGGGCGGCCATATGTCATTAATAATCATGAATTACAGGCTGCAATTGAAGAAGATTCCGCTCAAACTTGTCAGATATTAGCACAAAAGTTCTCTGTAAGGTTTACATTTGCATAGTCTTGGAAAAGTTTACAAGCTCAGCAAATGGATACCTCATCAATTGACACCTGCCAATATTGTGCATATGGTGGACTGCAAATGGAATTGTTCACTATAAACTTATACCATCTGGCCAGACTATTACTGCTAACATCTACACTGACCAACTCCATCGAGTTCACCAATCACTTTTGAAAAAAACAGCCAGCTTTAGTAAACTGTAAAGGCGTTCTTTTCCAACACGATAATGCTAAAGACATCATGTTGCGCGTGTGACCTCTGATACAATTCAGACCCTTAGATGGGAACCTCTTTTGCACCCTCCTTATTTCCCTGACATTAGCCCTTCTGACTATCACCTATTTTTAAGCCTAGATAATCATCTGCGAAATCGACAGTTCAGAAATAGAGAGGTTATAGAAACGGAGTTAGAGAAGTTTTTCAACTCTAAAGATCAGGACTTTTATAAAAATGTAATTTATAAGCTTGTTTCCCATTGGGAAAAGGTTATTGAATATGAGGGTGGTTATTTTGATGAATAAATTGTGTTATTTCCTATACATTTTTATATTTGTTTTCTTTCGACAAAAAACGACAGAACTTTTTTGGTTACCTGATAGATCCAGTTTTCTGTAGAAAGACGACCCAGGAGGAACTCCTTCTCTTACTAGATTTCAAAAACTTTTTATTTAGAGAATTAATCAGAATACAATAATATTAGGATATAAAACATGGATATTGACACGACCAGTGAGGTCGGAGTGATGTAATATGTACGTTACCTTATCCCATCAATTATTTTCTCAATTACAGTATATGAAACAAAAGGATTTGTATTTGAATCATCTGAAACAGGATTTTCTGTTTATGTATATAATATAAACCTCATAAAAACCACCAATTACTTCTAATTACATTGACAAAGTACAGATATTAACGTAACAAAAACTGGAAAAATACGTACTTTTTATTTATCTAAATATATAAAATTACTTGTCCTGACTGACTAACTGAATGACTGATTCATCATCGCCCAGAGCAAACCGCTGAACCTAGAGATGAAATTTGGTACACAGTTAGGGTACGTCATGAAAACGCACACTAAGAAGGGATTTTTCGAAATTCCCCTGCGGGGGGAGGATTAAGACTTAACCGGAAAAACGGCTTCTACTGTACTATTTTAGATGCGATTTTTTTTTCAACTACATTCCGTCTTCATTGAGTACTTAGGTGTATTAAATTGATAACATTTCAGACATTGTTATAAAATATTTTTATCTATTTCAATTTTAAAAATGTTCGAACCATTTTAAATTCGAAGTTGTTATTGCATATTGCTTCGATTATAGAACGATTGTAAACGTTCCAGAAAATTGATCAAATTGAAAATAGTTCGTTTGATTCTTGGCAATTCTCTTCAGCGGTAGATGTTATATAACATTACTATGGTTATTGAAATATTGAATGTAAATGGGGTTTGCTTGCAAAACTTCCGCGGACGAAGTCACAAGTAACAGCTAGTACTTTTATATTTTTTCCACTTAAAACGTAAATACAGTCAAATCCGTCTTTAGATAAACAAGAAAAAAAGTATTGTTTAGAAAGGTTTATTGTTATAGTGAAGACTTTTAACGAAGTATCCCCTTCCTCATTAATAATTGTCAAACTTCAAATAAGAAGAGTCAAGTCGTCATTAAGTTCGACCCTCTTTTATCTCCCCAACCCCTNACATGAACTCACCTACACTAACATCCATACATATTGGAAAACCCCCTGAATTTGTTTATTTCTCGACGTTTTAAGGGCCCATATCTCCTAAAATGTAAAAATCTTAAGGGATCATTTTTTGACCGATTACAATACTTTTCCTCTGTTATATATAATAGAATATGACACATGATCCCCTCGACCTTTAACCACCAAAATTTAACAACATTAATTCCCTCTAATAAGCAAACCTCCATGCAAAATTCCAAAAATTTTCGACAAAAAGCACAGGAGTTATTAAGCTTCAAACAGGGTGAATAAAAAAAGTAATCATAATTACTGTAAATTGTAATTATTTTGTCCCCCTGTAGAATGGCATACATTAGTCTTGTAATTGTAAAGTTTTGTAGGTGTAGTGATGGGATAGACATTTATGAAGTAAAAAATAGTTACAATATATGCCAATAGGAGCCGCTAATGGCTATGTAACAACATCAAAGCCAGACATGTTATCTGGAGCAGTTCAAGGTGGACAATGTCGATAGATTATAACTTTTATATGAGACGAAGAAGAAGAAGAATCTGATATTAATAATGATTTAGATAAATCAGCCATGTTTTTATGCGCGTTGACGCACTTTCACATACTGCTACATCTATAACTGAACTGCTTCAAACCAATTTTTAAAAATTTAAAATTGTGGTGGCGCCATCTGTTGAAATTTTATTTTAAAAACTTATTATATTGTTTATTATTATAAAATGGAAAAACTTTTAATTTTGAGATGAGTTTTATTTTGAAAAAGTTTAAATACAACGTGTAAAATATTCATTAGATCTGACACCGCTCGAGATATGACACATGATCCCCTCGACCTTTAACCACCAAAATTTAATAGCATCAACCTCCCCCTAATGCATAAACCTCCCTGCAAAATATCAAAAATTTTCGACAAATGAATCCTCAGCGTATTCAATCCCGGGTCTTCGGGGCTGAGTAAGCAGGCGCCCATCAATGGCTGAGTTACCAACTACCAACTACTGAACGTTGGTAGTTGGTAGATGGTTCGCGCCTGGCCAACAAGATGTCCATGTGAAGTTTTCTGGGTTTTCTACACGATTTTAATCTAAATAGGGGCGAGTTTCCCATATAAACTCCATATAAACTTCCCTCTGTTATATATAACAGAACTGAAGCTCTGGCGATCGGTCAAAAAATGATTCCCTCCAAGATTTTTACATTTGTCGATTCGGGGAGATTGAAACATCGAAAAATGCAAAATAATTTGGGGTTTTTTTCGTATACAACTAAAATAAATGTGTACAAGTTAAGCAGTTTCGATGTATTGTATACATCGAACCATTTGTGTGTTTGTGTATTTTCGTGTACCGTTTGTGTATTTTCCAAAACCCGAATTTCCAAGGCTGTAGTTATAAAGAAATGATTTGTAATTAGGAATAGGGTAAATATATTAGGGGGTTACTTTTAAAGAAAGATCTGTGGCATGCTTTCTAAAGAATAACAATGCTTAAAACTTTATTTAATTTTTAACACTTATACAGAATAGGTTTTTTATCGTATACATTATTTATAACAGCTCTGGCCAACTTATAACAGGGTGTGATCGAGTTTCACCAGCCAAAAGCACTAATTGTCTACATTGTTCTTCTATAAAAGCTTAATAATCCATTTTTATAAAATTATGCTGAAAAACATATACAGTGGTGCCTCGTATAACGTACGCCTCAAATAATGGACTTTCCGTTCGGCAGTTACGTGAGGCGAACAACGGACTTTCTGCGAACAAGTGCGAATGATGTTTCCCTTCTTTTGCCGTTGCTAATGACAATCTGCTATTTTTATAATATGTTAGTATTATTAGAATATAATATTAGTATATCTGAAGTACGTAGCTCTCGTTGGGATTCGGCTTCTTCCCTTGTTTATTACGTACATCACCTCAGTGCAGGGTATTTACATTTATTCAAGTGTTGTGCAAATCATGGTTTCTAAAAAAAACAGAACGGTGATTTCAATTTAAATAAAGTAAGAAATCGTCAGAAGGAGTGAAAGTTGACAAAAACTTCCTTGTCAAATGGGGAGAGGTTCAGGAGTTTACCAACACTCATTATCCAAACAGAGCTGAGGCCAACAGGATCAATGATCTCTACAATGACACCCTTGCCCGTCATTTCCGACAGATGTTGAAGAAGAGAGCGAAACAGACCACCTTGGAACATGTTTTTCAAGAAGCAAACTGCCAAAAAACAAATAAAAACAAAGGATGGAACAAGAGATGACCCTGCAAACTCCGGTAGCCTCTCTTGAATCTGACTCCGATTAAAAAACAATAAAAAGAGACCTGCTGCAATGTGTAAAAAGTCTGTATCTGTATGAATGTGTGAAAAAAGTGTTCCTCCACCTCCTCACATCATCTGACTACCCGGCATAATTGGTGAATGCTCCATTTTCATTTTTTTTATGGTACAGTACGGTTATTTTATACTGTGGAACGAATTATATGTTTTAACATGTATTTCTATGGAAAAATGCGTTTCGTATAACAGACTTTTCACTTAACGGACGTGCACCTGGAACGGATTAAGTACGAGGCACCACTATACTTATATATTGTACAGTAATTAATTAACATTCTAGATGATTTTATTTTTGGTAAATAGGCCTACACTAAAACGTAAATTAAATGACACTATTCATTTTTTACCATAACAAAAACGAAATTTATTTTTTTCCGTCGAACAAATCATAGATTTTGCTCCTCTTTGGCTCACTCATTTTGCATTTAAATGCCAGATATATGCACTGCTATATGCATGTAAAATGCTTCAAATATGCATGATACATGTTAAAAGTGTATTAGACTAATAAGAGTTATACACTTAAATTTAAAGACTGAAATGCATACGTACTTCTGAGAGAAAATCTTAAAAACGTGTATTACATCACACTTTTTAGATGGAGATATAAACACGCGACAATAGGTGACATCAGAAATTCGAAAATTTAACGTCACAAAACTCAAATAACATTTATATTGAGGTTTTGATATCATAGCATTTAAGGAAGAAGCATGCGTGTGCATACAAATCCGGTCCTTAGTGTTGACTATAATATTTTAACAATATATACCGTTAATATAAATACAAGATGTGGCTCTCGTATATTTATGACGGGCTCCTGTATTGATAAAGTTTTGCCACCCCTGCAATATACTATAGTACATAATTGCAGTGTTTAACCAATCTTTAATAAACGTTGGGTTCAACACAAATCCTCGATAGAATTTAAGACGAAATTATGAATTATGGATTACAATACCATCTATAATAGTTTCTCTATACTGTGTCGACTCTCAGTCAACAATTTTAATACAATAGCTGTCTATAAATTACGTAACGCAGATGTAGGTTGGTATGAAAATAATTGGTACGATGCGTTACAAAGAGTTGGGGTGTTTACATAAATGTTAAATAGAAATAATAGGATTTTAACCCTTGAGTAACATAATCAGTCCTTTTGGTTTCCGAAGTTTCATAGTGAATCGTTGTACGTAATAAAATAATGTAATGTCCAATACTCCGTGCTGTGTATTATTCCTTAGTACAATTTTTTAAAAACTTTATCAAGGATAAACATTACATAATTTTGAGAATGGGTATGTGCGATGCGTTATAAAGCGTTATAAGAAAGTGAGATGTTAAATGAAAAGTATAGAAAAGCCTTACGTAACTTATGGACGATTCTTGTACATTGCTAACGATTTTTGTAATTATTTAAGAGTAACGAAAAATGACACATTGAAGCATAAAAGGAATTTAATACAGACTATATTATTATGTATACGTATATATAGCGCGTGATATCACCATATGCCTGCTAATATATTTAAAATTATCCATAATGATAAATGAAATATTTTCAACTTTTGACTTCCTCTTTGCATATACTTAGAGGATCTTTTAACCATACCCATCATGGATTTATCCTGCCCATAATAAGGCTGGGTGATGATAGATGAGATCTGGCGTATTATACCGCTAAAAATTGCCAGAAATTCCCGACTAGCACTCGAATCCTGACTCCCCAGAGCAGCAGACAGACACCAGCTATTCGGCATTCAAACGAAACATTTATTATATATTACTACTAATTTTTAGGAATAAAAACAGTTTTTTTTTTCGATATATTAACCTATAAAATACAATACGAAGTTTTCCTTGCACTAATTTTTCAGTAACTATATATATTGTATTATCATAATTGTTTAATTTTCTGTTTCGGTACTGTTTATTCCATTCATAAGCGAAACATTAATATCTTTATTCCCAATGTTATTTTCTGTTCCCTTCGATCTTGAAAATTTTTCACAGAAGAATAAAACAATCGTGTCGAACGCATTCAACATTACAGGCAAGAAAAATATTCCGTGAAAAAATGCAAATATCATTGTCAAAGATATAATTTTAAACAGTATAACGAATGCTTGCGATGGTGCTAGACCAAAAATGGCTACCGCTACTACAGAAGTAATACAACCTTGAAATATTGGATGCCCAGCAACCTCTAACGATCTTATAATCTTCTCGTTTGGGATTTTGTTTTTCGATATAACGTATGCCGTAGAAATATGAGCAGCGTAATCTACCGATAGTCCAGTTGCCATAATTAGGATCAACATAGCCACTGTATCCAATTGTACACCTAACAATGACATATAACCGATTACACCAATTAATATGGAAGCTATGGACAGAGCCACGCATATTGTACATATGATATGAGGTATAAAGAAGAAGAATATAACAGTAACCGTTAACGAAGCGATCAATATCGCCTGGATTGAACTTTCTTTGATTTTGATATGCTGATTTAGAATCACGAACCAGTAGTTATGGACATGAACCGGATACTTACAAGATTCGGCAATTTCCCACAGTTTGGATAACATCTGACGTTCTAAATCGAAATCGTTAATGTCTTTAGTTGCAACTAGAAATCTAGTAGCTACAATTTGTGTCATATTCTTATTAAAAACTACATCGTTCCTGTATCTTCTATAGTAAGGCAACTTAAGGAAAACATTAATAAAGCCTTTAATAAAATCTTCCGATTTGTTCATATCATAACCCCTGTAGGAAAACCAAAATTTCGTATCATTTAACGATGCCAAGTAGTATTTTAGCCACGAATCTTCCAAACTCGTTCCAGCCATGTGAGGGGCATTTGCAAACTTATCGACAATTCCCAAAACGTCCTTTTGTACTTGAGGATCAGAATAATCTAAAGTTTTATTTATGATAATCTGTACTCCGTGAGGATACTGTACGAAATATTCGTAATGTTTTGTGATAAAATCATATCCATAGGAATTTATAGATATTGCATTCCTGTAATCGAAACCTTGTTTGAGAAATCGTAAGCAATAAATTCCTCCGCTGAGGTACATCACAAATGCCATTATAGTAATTATTTTAACAGCTGGAAAAGTAAGAGCTTTACCAATAAAATCTCGATAAACTTTTAAAAATATATTACTCTGTTCGAGATTTGCGTTTTCCTTTATCAGGCCAACGTGTAAGAAACGATGCAAGGCATTTTCTGTAAGAAAATATATTCAGTTAATAATTATTTAATGAATAATTAAATAAATTCAGTTTAAATTATGTTCTATATAAATGTTAATTGCTATTTGTTTCGGCACTGAAATGCAATGAATCTTAGCAAATTTGAAATCTAATAACACCTGTTTCTTTTGTCAAAGATTTCTGAAATTTTGCATGGAGGTTTACATATTAGGGGGATTGATTCTATTAAATTTTAGTGGTAAAAGGTCGAGGGGATGGGGAGATAGAGAAGATCATGTATCACTATAAAAGTGCATCTGAACAGATTTTTTTATCTAATAGCAAATGTAATAACTCTGCACGCTTGTATAAATGTTATTGACATTATATACTAAGATTACTTCCTATTATAATAAGCGCGTGATACATTTTAAAGAAGAACGATGGATGAAAAACGTCAGTATAGAGAGAAATAACAGATAATTATATATAAATTATCACAAGATTCGAAAGATAGAAAATATATTATTTTTCAATATAATTAAGGGGATAAATGTAAATTTTTTAAGAGGAAGACAAGTTTTTAAATTATTTTAAACGGTGATGTAATTCGCTGTTTTATATTCTGGTGTGACTTTTATACAGCTCAATCACTCTATTTGTTAAAACTAAAACTAGCTGAAAATTATGAAAATGAATTAAAAAAAAAAGGGTATGTAAAAGTATTTTTATATAAAGTATTTGGATTTTTTCTTTATTTAATTAAGTTACAAACGAAAATAGACGAGGAAAGAAACATGGTCAGGAAGTGCCAAAGATTTTTTTTGGTCGCAAATATAGCAATCGTTATTCTAGAACACTCATTTTATTCCAGACACTATTACAATCGTCGTAAATAATATTTCACCTCTTATTTCAATTGGGCATTTCTATAAGGTCTGTACGGAATGTGGTAAATTTAAGATAAAACTTGAAATATAACAGATGTAAAATAATTATTCGTAGTTGAAATTTTAAAACGAACTGATAAGTGAAAAATAAATAATTTGGAATAACTTTAGCAGTGAAAGAAAACAAATACGTGCTATATTTAGAAAGTTAGAAATATACACTGTACAGTACGTACGTACAGAACATATTTTGACTTTGTATATATATTTGTTAGGCAATGGGTTCCATGTCATTTAACGTATCCTCACCAAATTTTTCATGAATATTCTTTGAAAACCTGTAAAAGATATTGTGTGGAGGAGGTCCTTACCCCAACCACTCCTAAAGCTCACCCCTCTTAACTTAAATCCGAGTAATTTTTTGTGTTTTGAAGTTTCATTATTATAAATATTTGTCAACAATTGTATATTTTAGTTACTAAGACCCTCTCCCAAGAAACTTCACCATCCTTCATTCCCCAAAATTTCGAGCAACGCAGGGCACACACAGATAGTATTCAATTAAGCAAGAGAATGCAGAGATATACAGCGTGAAGTCCTCTCTTAACGTCATCGATCGGCTCTTGGAAACTGCAACGTTAAACGAAACAACGTATAAGGAAACCAGTTTTATCATAGGCTAATTGATATAAACAAGATATATTTCGGTTAATATCCATACAATCGATTGTAAGTCTTTTCTTTCTAAGACTTGTAAGACGTGTCCAAAAAGTAAGTACAATATTCCATTCCATAGATAAGAAAAAATTCGGGTAAAGTCTACAAAATAATTTTCGCGGGACTCTACAAGATTCCCCGCTTTATCCGGATAAAGCGGGGAACACTGCACAATCTCATGAACATCGTGGAAAAAGATCAGGGTGGTGGTATCATGTCGTGAAGCGCTTCACGTTTTTGCAAAAGGTGCCATTACTGTAAAAAGATACAAAGACGATGTTATGGGAACCTCGCGTGAGACTTTTCCGAGCTGTTATGAGTGCAGATGTTATCTTCGTACGCAATAATGTCATCGTGCATAAAGATAACCTCAAAATGAGCAATGTTCTGTGCTTCTAGGAGGCACCCCACGCCATATTAATCATTTTCTGTGCAAAATGATTTACAACAATGTTTCATAGTTTTTTTGCATTTTTTCGTTTGACTTAATTTAGATTAAATTTTTTGCTTTTCAATTGTTTTGTCTCATAAAGAATATAATGTTCTGCTTGCAAGTACAGTTTCACGCTATTTTGATCAGCACTTCTTTAGATATAGGCCAAAGTAACGGTTATGCTTATTTTTTGGCATGCGCGTGTGTGTGTATGTATATATATATATATATATAGGTACTAGTCATTTATTTATTGCAACAATATATATATATATTGTTTCAATAAATAAATGACTAGTAACTATTAGAATTTTTGAGGCATACAGAAAACCTGTCCAAATGGAACCTGAATAAAAAGAAAATTTGAGTAAACGAAAAAAATATTCAATACCACGCGATTCCGGTTTACACAAGTTTTACTGTATGTACTGTACTTTATTTTCTATTGCCTACAGGACAAAACTGTACAAGTATAAAATCGCAGTTTTGTCATGTAGGCAATACAATGCAGTTTTGTTCTGTGTTTAGTGTATTTTAAGAGCCACGGAAAAAGGCTTGTATTGTCCTTTTGCTAGAGTTTTAGACCAACAATGATTAACTTCATATATTACACTTAACCTTTAAAGAATAATGAAAATTCGAACTTTTACGACTAACAAATGACACTTATTTTCACAATGTCTCTGAGCATTAAATAATAAAGAAATTATTACACAATGTATGAAAGTAATATAATACTCACTGTATGTCTTCATTGGATTCACACCTATGCAAAATAAAGAATGGAGTTTATTCTTCTCTCTGAACCCGCTAAGTGCTAAGATTCCACCAAAGAGAGTAACTTGAAAAACATAATCGAAAAGCACAGATATCGAAGCATACAGTGAATAAATTTGTACAACTTTGTAAGGAGTTGTCATGCCAATTGAAAACGATACAACATTTGTCAATGATGTTATAGTAATGGAAATGGCAGCTTCGGAGTAAGCATCACTTATCCTTTTCTCTACTCTATCGTTAGGATCAGTTCGTCTCCAAGCCGCAAGTAGTACAAATGAATCATCCAGACCTATACCTGTAAATATACAAATTTTAAAATAAAAAATACACTTCTCAATTATTCTAAGAAAATAATATAAAAATCCATACCGAGTAGTAAAAATGGAATTGATATATTTAAATCTATGTATTCTGCTCCACATAGAAGAAGCAAGCCAAAAGCACCAATGACAGCAACAGTAGGACACACACAACCGGCAACTCCTATCCACGGTTTGCTGGTAACCCAATCCATAGTCATTGATGTAACTACAGCAAAAGCGGCCATTAATGGTGCAACAAAGAAGATTAATGGTAAGATCATTTCGGTATTTTTATGAAATTCGCTATCGAATGTACTCCCAACGAATTTATAGAAATTAAAACGTTCGGATTTTAAATCAGAGACGGTTTTTAAAAATTCGTTTTCCCATTTTAATGATATTTTGTTCCATCGATCCGAAGTATACTTCAATAAGTACATTAATCTGATGGCTTTGGCTTCTTTTATGTGATTTTTTTCGTCAGTAGTAACTCCGCCGAAATTAATTACAGGAAAGCTGACTTTGTTTGATTCCACAGTTGTATCGTAAGGGAAACTGAAATTAAGAAAAATCGAAAATTATAAATAAAACAACGATAATATAGAGTAATTACTTTCCCGGCACTGTTTTGTATAACAGAGAGAAAGTATGGCTTCCAGTCGATATATGACCACCCAAGATTTTTATTTTTCGTCTTAGGGCACTTTGAAACACCGAGAAATGTAAAACATTTGGGGTTTTTTCCTGTATATATGGATGTTAATGTGTATGTGTGGGGGCACGATTTTGTTCACTCTCTTTGAAGCTTAATAACTCCTGTGTCTTTTATCGAAATTTTCTAAAATTTTGCAGGGAGGTTTGTTATTAGGGAGACTGAACTATTAAATTTTGATGATTAATGTCCGACCCTACTCAAGATATGACACACGACCCCTCTCTGTCTCCTCACTCTCTCGACCTTTAACTACCGAAATTTAATATCATCAATCTCCTAATACTCAAACATCCCTATAAAATTTCAGAAATTTTCGACAAAAGGCATGAGTTATTAAGCTTTAAAGTGAGTGAACAAAATCGTGCTTCACACATGAACTCACCTACACTAACATCCATACATATTGGAAAACCCCCTGAATTTGTTTATTTCTCGACGTTTTAAGGGCCCATATCTCCTAAAATGTAAAAATCTTAAGGGATCATTTTTTGACCGATTACAATACTTTTCCTCTGTTATATATAATAGAGCCGGGAAAGTAAAACTGGCTTTCAGGACTGACATAATACTAGCAGTAGTATTATATGTGCTGCAGGTAAAAAAAAAAACTTAATCTGAACTATTGTAAAGTAAGAATTTCTATGTTATACGGTAAAACCTGTGTAAAAAGTTTGGTTTATTTTTGACCCTATTATAATATTATTACATTCACATAACATACGCTAATTGAATTCATGTCTGTCTGTTCGAGTATCATGTGACAAATATATATATATTTATACATATATTTAAAGGAATGGCTGAACCGATTAAGGTGAAAGTTTTCATTTATTCAGTTCATGTCATTAGTTTCAGTTACCGTGACTAATGTTAATTAATTTATTATATATAAAAAATTCACTTAATGGAAATTAAATGTTCATATCGCGTTTTCGTCGCAATAATTTCAAAATAAAAAAATCTAGAAATATATACAATATTAACGTATATAAATAATATAACATTGTTTCATTAAATCTTCTAACTTTAAATACATTTTTATAATACTTTTCTATTTATAAAAAAAAATCATTTTTGCTATTTATTTTCATTGTATAGAAGAATAAAACGTTAAAATTTTTATTCTAAGAAAATAAGACAAAATAGTTAATAATTAATAAAATTTCACTAATAGAATGGCCGAAACGATTAAAAAGTCAGCCTATCGCTCTGGGAGATCTTGGATCGAATCCGGAAAACTCCCAGGAATTTTCCAGGTGGCGCTCTTGCACCGAATATGGAGCGCCCTCATTGCGAGCATCGAAAGCGCCTCGTAGTGTCCAGTTTTTATTCTATTTCTAGTTTTTATATTAAAACTCTACATAAACATGAATTATAAAACTGTTTACAATTTATTCTAGAAAATTAATTAAGAAAATAATAAGATTTGTTTAAACTCGCTTCAGTAAATTAAACGTGAATATGTAAATAAATGCGACTGTTAATTAATATATTATTAACGAGAGATTATTGTGACATCGTCACAACACCGTGCTGCAATTTTTAATCATCTCTTAATTAAACAAAATCACGTGACTTCCGGTCCAAACCGAAATTTCGTATATAGTTAGTCTTGTAAGCTTTCCATATATGACTTTACAGGAAGAAAATTTATATATTTATTTATTTAAATAGAAATAATATATTAATAACTTATATATAAAAAGAAAACAATAAGAGATTTCTATTTTCAGCAATTCTTTCTGACTAGATAAAAGGAAATAAGATATAAAATGTCATTTACCAAGGTCAAGAAATTACATAAAAATTTTATAGTCTTACAGACCGATACGTTACGAGCAAACAGAACAATATATAATAAAACAATGCGCGTAGCTAAACATCCTTGTTCATTTACGTCATAAATGCATTTACCTGTTACAAAGATTACTCTATTACGACTTTTATTTGAATGAACCGTAACGGCGACCTGCATAAAATTCTTTTTCCTAGTTGTTATTATTCCAAGTTCGTTTCCTCATTTAAATAAAAAATTGAATCTTAAATAAAATATCTTATTTACTTTTAAAATAAATAAAAGTTAATTTATTTGATTAAAATAATTTATAAAAATAAATACGAGCATCCTCTAAAAGACGGGGCATTTATTTAATATACAAAATAACCTCCAAACAACGGCCTTCACCTGAGGATGACTTGTAGAATAAGATCGTAACTGTTTAATAAGCATCTTCTCAGTAAGATTTAGGTGTTTTGTGTTAATTAATATTGTTAATTAATAAAATATACTTACCTCATGTGAATCTTCTTAGCTCTGAAATCGTGAATCCTACCTACTAACGAAAGCACAAAATTATCGATACATTTATTATCACTCTTCAAGCACAAGTCCTTGTAAATGAAAGTGTGGTTTAAAGAAACTACAGTAATGTTTTGTATGACGTTATCGATATCACGAATTTCTCTAATATAATCTTCTCTTAGCATAGAACCTCCATCTTTGGCTTCCATTAGTATCATACCCATCCTCCCAAACCGCATCATTTTAATGATGTCGAAATCATTTTCGTCGGGTGGGAACAGTGTTTCCGCAACTCTCCTGTCGTCAATCGACCTTCCATTTGTTGGACACAGTAAATATTCCGTATCGTTTGTTAAAACGAGTCTAGTAAATCCAATGGACAACAAACAAACAACGATCGTTGGTACAAAAATGAATAACAAAGGATGCCTCCCAACACAGTATCCTAATTTTCGAAATTTTGCTGATATGAATCTGTTAACGCAGTCGTACTTCATTTTAATAATGTCCTGTTAAAGAAAAATATACTAAATTAATTATAATAATAAATAATCTGTTAAATACATTTAAGAACCATTGTTAAATCCATTACTCGATAGTGTCAGTATCGTATCAAAGCATGGTAATGAGCATTATATCACTGATACTGTTTCGATTAAATGCACAGTTCTTGTTTTAACAGTCTCCTTATAAACTAATAGGGATGCTTTTTAAATTCTTTAAACAATTATCAATTTTTCCTCTCCTTCACTTCAACCTAAAACAATGCATTACAGCGTACGACTGATAAAGGAACTTTTGTAGAGGTGTTTTAAGTTTTATTATTCTTATACGATAAGGATACTTTACCTGTATTTTTCTTTTATTTATTTAACTATTTAAATTTATTATTTATAGTGTACTGTGAGTAAGCTTGAGGAAATAATAACTTAAATTTTTCTATAGTAGCAACTTAAAAGTATGTATCAATAGTTATAAAGAAGTCTTTCAGTTTCGTCTTTAATTTAAAAAAATGGTTAATATATAACCTATTTAAATTGAATTTTATTATTCAATAATTAAGTAATCGTTTATATGGAAAAAGTAGTATTGTCATAAAGCTGTTTTATACAGCAATTAGCCTAAATTATAGCACATTTATTTATAGTTTTAATGGCATACAAAAATAGGCTACAAGATAATTTTTTACACCTTTTCTAAATACAATACAGTATCCTAGGCCTAAATTATTGACCTAGAGTATTGTAAAATTAGTTATAATGAGAATACTTTTAATAAATATAGAGCCGTTATAACTATAACTTACTTAATAATTATTTACGTGAAGTGTAGGCTGTTCAAATGTATGTACTGTACAGTACACTGAAAGGTCTATTTAAATAGTGCATTTCCGTAAAAAAAAACTTAGCACTATAATTCATTACTATGCACTTTAGCGCTGCAAACAATTGAAAAGCAGTTTTATTTGTGGGTTCTTATAAAGTGTGATTTATCGAGGACACGTTGAAAATTTGGGAATTTTGAAACACAGTATAACACTGTATATGAGAAGCATCACACAGAATCAATTACTATTGATCGTTGAACATACTGTTCATCGCCTTCTAGTTTTAGAAAGAGGGCCACGTTGTGCAAGTCTGTGTTAAACATCAGTGTCTTACATAAAACGTTTGCTGCTTGATTGCTTTAAGTGTAAACAACCGATATACAGTATGTGAATTCTTCTTGTTATTTTCTCAAAGTTGTTATATAAAGACATTCAGAACACTGTAATTAATAAAATATATTTATCTAAACTAAAGCTAACTCACCAGTCCTGTTTTCATAATGCATGAAAACTCTTAAAATTATTACATTTAAAGAAAATATTTTTTTAATAATATTATTTCCTTCTTCACATTTTCATTGTTTCTTTGTTTGTCTGTGAATAGTGTAAATTAAAAAGATATTATTTTTAGAAACTATGTTATCTAAACATCACGTTACTTTTCCTTTATGTCAAACAACAATGACAGTAAGATGAGACAAAACTTGACAGAAAAATAATGATATGTCATTAATTCTTACACTTATATGTGACTTAATTTCGTTTTAAAATAGTTTTAAATGTTGTATAACTAACCCTACGGCTTCTATTCTTAACGAGAAGCATATATTATTTATAAAAATGCTAATTTAGTAAATTATAATTATATAATATAGCCTGGTTTGTGCTAGAGTGCAACACATTATTAAAATTACCTTACTTTTATAAATGCTTTTGATAGATGTGTATAGAAAATCATCTATTTAAATATTCTTACACGTTAACTAGACTATTTAATGATAAATTTATATATTTATAAATAAAATATAAGGGTGGCTCAGTAAATAACCAGCCGGATTAACCAGTTGTGTTGCTGCTTTTGGTTGGTTATTTATTGATCCACCCTTATATATGTATATATATTAAATTTTTCGAGTGAATTTATGAGTTTCTAATTATGAAAATATATCATTACTTTTATTTCTTTCTGTAGAGTGATTTAAGTATCTCCGTAGAAAACATAGTACTACGGGAAGCATACTTGCCACGCGTATCGTCAGGTGTGTTAACATGTATGAGTGAGAGGAAAGTATTTAATATGCATTTAATTGCCCTTATATATAAATATAAGGTTTATTTAATTTTCCTTATATTTATATACATATTTTGTGACTTACCTAAGACTATAATAATTTTAATTTTTATTTAATTTAAATTAACTTTTATACGTTAAATAAAACTTATAATAAATATTGTATAAATTGTAATAATTTTTAAAGGTATTGTATTGTTTTATTTATTATTATAAACTCATTTAATGTATTATTTTAAGGATAATTTTAAAATTTTCTATCACTCAGATAAACTTAAAATATCATTATAAAAAATAGCTTAAAAAATCCCCTTTATACGCTGACTGCATTTTAAAGAGGAACTGTTGGGAATTTTCAATAAATAAACCATTTATATATCACAGGGAAATAAAAATAAAATAAAAAAAAAGGTAATGCGAGTACAAAAGAAAAAAAAATACTATAAATTCTCATTTATAAATCCTTAAAATTAATTTTTGTAACTTTTTTTTATCTATTGCAATATATTTTTAACTATAAAAAGTGGGTATTTTAAAGGATAATGTGAGACCTATTTTAGTGTTACAGCTTTAATTCTTAATATATGAGCAATAATATTACATTTTTAAAACATTTTTAGGTTATTGAGCTTACTTTTATGAAGCATTTTATACGTTACTAGACACTTATTGTCGTATGCCATTGTTATAAACTAGTTAAATATAATAAAACATATATACAGTATTATAATTCATTTATGCAAATTAGTTATGCCCTATTTTAAATTAGTGCAATAAATTTTAAAATAACTGTAATCATTTATTTTTTTAAAATTTGTTTCTTTTATAATTGGGAACTTATAAGAGGGACTCAAAAGACTCGTGGTATATAGTACAATGACGTCGGTTTTAGGGCTTTAGACGGAGGGCCTAAAGTTTAGAGAAGCCCCATTCTTTCAAATTTATACGAGGGGCATTCAAAAACGTCCCAGGAAATGTAATTAAAAACACGGGGATTACTTCAAACTCGTATAACATTACATGTGTTTCGGGGTCCCATTGATAACTTTTTATGAGGCCCACAAAATTCTCAGCCGGCCCTGACAATGCAAAAGTATATAAAATTACCAGATAGAATATATATATATATATATAGTATTTATTGAAAAAAAGAAGAAAAAAACCTAATTTTTTAACTCCAAAGTCGTGACAACAAAATTAAATCTATACCATTTTAAATTTTACCAGGCCACCACAGTTGTAATTGCAAAAGGCCCGAAGGCCTGAAGATCTTATCTATAACTTAGATACATTTTATACTAGTTTTAAATTAAAATACTTCTAAATAATAAAATATTTTTAAATACCTAAAATTGTTTTTAACCTTATTGAATGTATCTCAGACAAGCAAATATATTTTAAAGTCTACTCGGATATTAAATCTCATATAAAAATTACTAAAATACAGTTTAATTTGATTATAATTTATTACTTTACGAAGGATCGATAAGGTATACAACAATAGAAACATTGTATCAATTTAAAAATGGCGGAAGAGACATTAGGAGTTCTTACACTTCGCGTGTCAGAATAAAGTTATAAGTTTATAACACGAAAAGAAAATTACGTCTCTATCTTCTACCTTTAAAAAGTATAATAAAAATTCAATTCACGTACCTTATTTATCACGTTTTCAACTGCATAACACTAATGTTAATCTGTAAAGCTGTAAAGTCGCAACCGTTATGAAGGAAAATCCGTTATATATAACCGCTTATTCCTCGAAGCATCAATTGCCATTGCAATGACCTCTTTCTGTAACGTTGAACCGTCGAGTCTACGTTCAGTTGTTAAATGTAAATTTCCCTTTCACCTACTCGCTACTTCACACTTATCCTTTGTGTTGTGCTGTCACCGTTATCAAATCTTTTATGTTTACTAAGCTTCAGTGCCTTACAATTTGTTTTTTCTAATTTGTATGGGTCATGGCTTGTGATTAAATTACTCGTCCATTAAATATATAGCTGGATAAAGTGAGTTCAACGCTTCTGTTAATAGATACTGTACTGTACTGTAGTTGAAAAATCGTTGGTAATAGTTTAATTTAATACATTAGATGTGTTGTTTAGACATTATTAACGATAAATAATGGCGTTGTTTTAATGAAAAATCATCCAGGAACTAATTCGACTGTTGAGTAGTAGACTTCACCTTGGGTGGGCTTTCATTATATAATGTTCTTTCTTAGTAAGAATGACCTAAATGATCTTTATGGAAGTTTCCTGTATGCTATTTTTAAATTAATGGCTATTAAAGAAATGTTACTGAATTCAGAATTTCTGTTTATTCTAACTTGAACCTTTTGTGTACATCGAACAAATAATAGTACAGAAAAATAGGATAAATTTAAATTAAACGAAAGTTATTCTGTTTTTAAAAATCGATTTAATAAAAGTACGTCAATTTTAAGGATAGAAATTAATATTTTAAAATAATTCTTTATACGTATTACAATTATATAAAGCAACTGACAAGAATTTCCCTATCAAATCATTAAAATAAACATTGTAAAAACCTATTTTTCTTTATATATTCCTGGTTATTGACTTATAATTTATAATACTTAATACATATCCGATAATATATGATTTTATAAAAAAATTAGAATATTGTAAACAAGAATATAAAATGTGTTAATCTAAAAGATTGCTGATACTAACAAATGTTTAGAATGCTTCCATATGCTTTCAAATTAAATTAATGTTTGTTTTATTATTTATTACTATTAAAATAATATAATATGCATTAGTAAAGTTGATTAAATTTTGGCATTTCTGCTTCATTTAATTTTACACCTTATAAACAGTATCTAGGCTATCTTACAAATGATTTTTCCCCCCTCTATTGAGAATAAAAACAAAACAAGTCACTGTGAGATACAAGTTTCCTTATCTGTTCAGATAATAAAATGTAGAAAGAATGTCATTGATATGATAATAAATTTAAAATATGTCGCAAAAGCAAAAGTAAGTACAGGCAATCTTTCAACAACGACCCATTCTACACAGCTGTCGTGCTTTCAGGAACTTTTTTTTGGACAAAAATGCATATAAAATAACCTCTTATGACGGTCATTGTTCGGAAATTTGAATGTATAAAATCGCACTAAATCCATGAGTTACCTATTGATAATACAGATTAAACTTATTAAATATATATATAAAGAATATCAGGCAATTGTTATAGTATGTACACTATCTAAAAGACAGTTTACAATGTACTGTAAGATACATCTAATGAGAATGTAAGTATTCATATATTGTACAGTAGTAATTGTAATCTTTGCTATTTTCGTTTATTCGAACAACAGTACATTTTTAAAGGTTCAGTGCACTGTCAAAGTGAAAAAAAATCTCTAAGTACATATCTTTCTTTCTGTACACCAAGCGAATACGTATGCCTAATTAATGTACAATTGCATAAAATACAGGACAAAGATACGTTCTATAAGTTTTGTATCTTTGCTGATTTAAAATCTACAATGAAATTGTTTCGGGAGACGTTTAAGATCCAGAATCTCAATTGTTTTGATAACAGGAAAATGTAACTTAGTAAATTTTTTTTTTTTAAATTAGACCCTTCAGTTACTAGTTTCTAAGTTAATTAAATCAGTAAACTAAGATATTACTTACGGAATTAGTTAACAACCTTATTAGATTTAGAGATCGTATTCGTGACTGCATCCACCACGATTCTAATACGAAACTCGACTTCAAAAATTAGAACATGTTCTTTAATAAATAATATATATATATAAAAGAAATTCTATAATGTATAATTAAGTTATTCAGTTTTATTGTTTCGTAATTACTAAAAATAAGTGACGTTTATTCTTGAAGTAATGAAGAATTAATATAATAATTCTTACACGATAGATGACATTAAAAAAGAAATTATGTAATTACATTGACTGACTTACCTGAAAAGATTTCCTTAAAAATTCTACTGAAGTAAGAACGTCATGGAAATAATTTTAGTTACAGGCATCACCTTTGTGTTTAGAAATACAATGGTTTGTATCCTCCGAGGCCAATCATTGCGGTACTCAAAGCACGAATAGACACATATCACTTGGAATCAACCTAAAACAATTGTTGAAGGAAAGAATATAATGGTTCCTTCTATTTCCGTGCGTAAATTCATTTTATTAACAATATAATTATATACCTTTCGTGTATCAGTCAATATTCTATGTGATTGCCAAGCGTATTTGACGTAAAATACTTTCGAGTGTTTTCCTCTTTACTTACTTTTTAAATTAAAGTAGGTCATTCAACTAAGATTGATCATTTTCATTTACTAAATTATTTTTATGAGTACAAAGAAATATTCGATTTATAAATTTTATTATTGATTCTTAAGAGAAAACTCTACCCCCATGATAGAAAATAGTCACTTGTGATTTCTGTTTCTGATTCAGCTTCTGATATTTTGAATAAATCAAATTGTATTTTAGTATAATACTTTCAAACTCTTCAGGTTATCAATTTGTGTTTATGTATGTGTGTTGGGTAAAGGGTTCTATGCCGTTCAATGTATCGGCATAAATATTATTCGACACCCTAGAAAAATATACTATGGGGTCCTCACCCCAACCACTCTTGACTTAAGCCCGAGAAATTTCTTGTGTTTTATAGTTTCATTATTGTAAATACTTGGGTCGTTAAATGTACAGTACCTGTACATGTTACTAAGTTTATATAATATAATTAAAAAGTATTATTTTCTAATTTAAATACCTTAATAAAGAATGGACAATATCTTCGTGTGTCGACCAAAAGTTGGCACTGAAAACAAGAAACATTTCTTCTTTTCATGGCCATGTTAACCTTGACTGCGTCTTGCATAATGTATTCCCCTTCTTTTTATAGCTTGTATAGTCTGCGAGTGCCGCTGATTTAAATTGACTTTAAACTGTTTAAATTCTTAGCTTAATTTAATTTGCCCTATAATTCAACTTACCTCGTATTAAATTAAAATATAGATAGTTTAAGAATTACAATACAAAAAACGCTTATTATCCAATCACTCCATCTTAAATCCTTTGATGAAAGCCTTG